CTTTTGAGTTAAAATATATATTTATAATTTTAATAAATGACAAATTAAAAAAGCATGAACATTCTTTTGTATCGAAAAAATATCGAACCTTGACATCAAAGTATCGAACCAAACCGTGAATTTTGTGTATTGTTGCACCCCTAATATATTCATTCTGTCACAGCTCCGGAATTGTCAACCGACATGAGTCCAGTTCAAAATAGCCTCTTCTTACTATATTGTATTGTATTGTTGTTAAGTTGGTTTTGATCTTACGTAGTGCAACAGAAGTGATTGTAGCAGTTTTGTAAGAGGTAAAAAGAAATTAATTAATGCTAATAACAGAATGTATAGGGGCATTTTTAGAAGAAGGTGTGGCACACACAATTTGCCCCTTGCACAACCATGAAATTAAAAGCTTTAAATTAAAAGAGTAAAGGGTAAATGGTTCTGATTTGCATTTAAGGTTTTCTGTGTAAACTGGTGTTTTAGCAGCTGCAGGGCGCCGTAAAAGTCATTCTCCAAGTACAGTGTCCAAGAGAGAAAAAAATATTGCTCAAAGACGACACATTGCCACTAAAGTTTTATTACCCCAAGTTGCTATTATTTAATTAATTGGCTTGATTCTGCTTGCATTCAATGCAGGAAGTAAAATGCAATACACTACAATTGAAAAATTGAACACCAATGAGGTTGGTAATGTTTTAGACTCAGAGGTCACTGTCTCAAAGTCAAGTAGCTAATTCATGCCCCTATAAAAGCAAACTTTAATGGTTTTATGACCCCCATACTTGACTTTTATTTTTTATGCTCCAACTTTTTAAATATACTTAATGTCTTTAACAAGTTTTAGAGCTGCTTGTTTGTGGATTTTTTTTTAAAACTTGGGGATAGGACCAAGCAGCCTGTTTACAAAATTCAATGCAAGCTATAATGCATGCAATGCTACAATGCAAGCTTATAAGCTTATATTAATAACCTTATAACAGACAGCTGAGGGGAGTCGGTCATCTCATCTTATTCGTAAGTAAATATTTACCAAAATGTCAAACCTTTTGGTTGCTTTTTCAGATCATTTGTTCAGATTAAAGGAACTCAGTTGTTACAGGTAAAGATTATCGTATGCATCTTTTCAGATTAATGAAAAATAAAACATTTAAACAAGAGTCAGGAACTTTATTCTTGGTAAAATGAAATGGTTGGCTCATGGCGCACAGTAAATTTAGAGGAAGTGTCGTTAGAAGATGGAAAAAATGTTGCCCGTCTTGTTTGGCCTTGGGGCTGTGCTGACATGTTGTTCACCTACGTTTTCTGGCCTCAACAGGTGTGTCAAACCCAAAGCACACACCTTTTTCTCTTTTAGACCTGCAGCTGTCACTACTAAAGAGCACTCTGGGTAATAAAAGTAGAGAAAGATTTGAGTGCTAAACAAGGGTTTATGTCTGTTCCTACCTTCGTGGACTGATGTTGAATTGCCAGCAGGTTCGGTGCATGTGCACAACTTTGACAAAACACAGCATGTATGTGGACATATTTAAGAAAAAGAAAAGGGGGTGGGCAGCTTTGGTTTGTAATGATGACTGAGCAGCCATGTAGCTTCTCTGTCAGTTACTCACTGAGATGTAAGGAATGTTTTCAGTCATGGCTGAGCAGTATGTTAGCAATTTTGGATTACCTCAGTGTTATGACAAGGGAGGAGAGAAGATAATAAGGGCGTATAAAAGGTTCTGGGTGGTGGGGGTTATGGTGAGTGAAGAGAGAGTACCTTTTTGCTCACTATCTTGGTGTGTAAGTGGAAAATTCCAGCAGTAATGTAGTATAAGAAAAAGATAGGCGTGTCTTGTCAATGAAGAGGTTAAGAATGGCAGCCTGCAGCGATCTGAGGGGGTGTTGAGCAATCAACAAAAAAGTCATTAGCAGTTCAAAAGGCGGAAAGAGAGATGGAAAGACCAAATGTAGAGAAAATAGAGGACAATGAGACTTTGCATACCACTGTACAAGTGTGTCTGTGTTTTTGTAAGCACCTGTCATGATCCCCTGCAGTCCGTGCTACTCCCGCTCTGATCCCCCTGACCGTGTCAAATCTGAGCAGATGTTGCTACTGCGGGTGCGGATTGAAGACCCAGTGATTCTCTGTTGCTTTTTTTTTTTTTTTTTTTTTAATGTCTTACAGTTTTAAGGAAGTAGTATCCTTAAAAAGTATCAACTAATCTAACCGGTCTTTCTGGGTATTCTTTCTAAAGAAGAACGTGCTGAAGTATTAATTAGCACAAAACAGCTACTGGCATACACTGTTGCTACTGCTTTGATGTTTTTAAGAAATTAGTGAATGAATTATTTTGTTAATTTATTTTCGGAGTATATTACACCTACTGCCTCCATATATTTTTATAGTCAGGAACCTTTTTATTCCTGCTTAAAATAAGGGTGCAGGATCACCTTTGCTTAAAATCACTATCCACAATTTGAATTCCAATTTTTCTTACCTGTGTCTAGATGTAATCTAGTTACAACTGCGCTATAATGTTGGCTTGTGCAGTTCGTACCCATTTAAGGAGATTGGCAATATACAATTAAAATAAAAAAACTAACAAACAAAAAAGAAAAAAAAAAACAAAGTCACTTCCTTATGAGCTGTAGGTAACATCTTTAAAGGATGTCATGCTTTTTATTTCAGATGGTTGACATAATTCCTGGTACTACATTTAGTTGTTCAGGCCTTCCCCTGCAAGCTTTACCAGTATGATTCAGCTGCTGTGCATCTGAAAAAAAGAAAAGGAAAAACTCTTTACAAAATAAGTTACACCTCCAAGGTCCACAAAATGAAGACTTGGTTCTCAGCACCTCAACTAAAGAACTTCACTGTCCAACAGGTGAAAGGTTATCATTTACCACACAATTCAGAGCCATTACTTTGCTCATCACTGTGGGAAGTTTCAAAAATCTTAACATCTTGACATCACCATAACAGAAAGTTGAGTTTTATTCAACCTCTTTGTAGTCCGGAAAGTGTGCGAGTTACACCTCATCCACATCTTTCAAGTTCTTGTCTTTCTTGGTCAAGCCTGTAGCACCAAGTTAATTTCAGTACACAGTAATGTACAGTGAGATATCGGTTATATTCATATCAGAACTGTGGGGTTGTTGTTGCTGCATTGCTTTTTCGCCAGCTGAAGCGATTGAGAGTGACAGTTGGGTGGGGGTTGATGTCATTGTTCTTTCTTTGCCACACTCTGTTGGGATGGTCGGCAGCAGGTGCGGCTGTCTGCTGACTGCGGGGTCACAGGGTGCTGTTGTTTTGGGAAATGGGCTACTTTACTGCCAGGTGGCAGTTGCTGGCAGAGACAGTTATGGCTTTGTGTTTCCTGCAAGAGTTACTGCCCTTCTCAGCTGCCCTTTTGCCCCTTACCCCATCCTGATGGCCTTCACTCCAGCTCTAACCCCTGCTTCTCCCAGGGCTGTGAGTGCATATGAACATATGTGTGTTCACCCAAGTTCTGGCTGTGTTCACGGGCCCAGGCCAATCAGACTGGCTAGCACAGATGTGACAGGCTTAGAGGAATGCTAGGAATGCGGAGGCGCTGAAGCGGGTGTGTCCATCCTTGGCCCGGGGCAGAAGGGGAGGGACTACCTCAGTATCGGCAGACAGTTCAGCTCTGCTCTGCTGGCCGACTGCCGGACTGAGTGGTTGGCTTGTACGGTGAGTACTGCAAGCCTACTGGAGATGGCCTGCAGTACTTTTATGGTAATTGCACTAACCATGGCCTTCCGGAGGCCAAGTGCTAAAGTGAAAAAAACAGGACTTGTTTCTGCTGCCATTATGTGTCTGGAAAGCTGTTGAACATCTAGACACATAGTCTTTTGTGTGTTCATGAAGGCGCATCTTGACCAATTTTGTTGGTGTAAATTTATGTCAGCAAGTTTAGCAGAGTTAAGGCCATTATTCATAATAATACAGCAGTTCAGCCTCTCCCTCTGGCCCGATTTTCAGCCACAGAAACCTAATAAGCGTGACTTGGCAGAGAAGATAACTGAAAGCACTGATGGACTGATTTTCCACTGAGACAACATAATAACACTTTTTGCACTTCTCATACTCCAGAGATGATTTTTGCATGACCACAGCTGCAGTTTGTTGAAAAGGTATGGCTTGATGAATCACATGCGCTGCACTGTAGATATAGAGGACAGTGAAAGCCCGAAATAGAATCCTGTTCTCTGCACAACCTGTTTGTGCAGAATGTCGAGTGTAGATGTTATGGCATGGGGAAAAAAAAAACGCGGTTCTGTTTTTAAGTACTCTTTGTAATTAGGCTTCAGGGCCATGTGAGCTGAATTTAAGGAGGTGTGAAACAATCTAGTGAAAACCCAGGGATAACACAAATAAATGTACTCTTTGCTAATTTGCTTAAAAAAAATCTCCCTATAGGAAACAGAGGTGTTTCTGTGGCTCCTGACAAGTGTTCTGAGCTTTGAGAAATGCCACACTACTTTTCTTTTGACATGAGATCAAGACTTGAGAAGAGTGCCACCTTCTGTCCAATTTGTGATATTGCAAGTAATCTCCAAATGTTGAATGATATTTTTTTTTTCAATCTGTCTGCCAGTTTGTGTGTCATTGTATTAAAAGTGACTCTGGAGACACCTGCTGTTTGTCTGTCTGTGCTTAGTGTAATCCAATTACCATCCTGTAAGATAAGCCCCCACTTTTTTTATCTCTCTTTTACAGGTCGCAATGAATTAATAGCGAGGTACATCAAGCTGAGAACAGGCAAAACCCGGACAAGAAAACAGGTAATCAAGTTTTTTACGACTTTAATGTTTGGGTCCAGCTGCTGACTGGGTGACGTAGAAAAAATCCATCATCAAAACAGCTTTGTCTGGTGGCTTCCTTAAAAAAAGTGGATTATGAGTACTTCAGAGGACAAGTCTGGTTTTAAAATTTACTGTATTATTATTATTATTATTAACAATTGATTTGATTTTGGACAAAAATAGTATAGACCACAAATTATCAAACTGAAACATTAAACAAATACATTTTGTCTTTATAAATAAACCTTTAACTTATCATTTTTATTAATTAGTTCATTCAATTAACTGTCTAGACTTTAATATGAAAAAATAACGGCTTTGTCCTTTAAATCCACTTTCTTATTTTATGTGTAGATTTCTTAGTGTGTGTCATGATCCTGTAAAAGGTGTGTGTGTGTGTGTGTGTGTGTGTGTGTGTGTGTGTGTGTGTGTGTGTGTGTGTAGGTGTGTGTGTGTGGATCAGCACTTGTATAGATGTGTGGCCTGTGTGCATGGATCTGCATGCATGTTATTTTTATGCTCAAATGATGTTTCACACCCCTTTAGGTGTCTAGTCACATACAGGTGTTAGCACGGAAGAAGGTTCGTGAATACCAGGCGGGTATAAAGGTAGGTGCTGCCAGCCTGCCTCCCGGCAACACTGACTGGGCGTCTCTTTCCTCTTTGGTTACGGCTTCTCTTTCTTCTCTTCTCTCTCTGTCTCCTTTCTTCTTTCCTCCTCTTGGCTATTTTTCTGTGCAGGTTTCTAGCCACTTGCAGGTTCTCGCCCGGAGAAAATCTCGCGAGATCCAGTCAAAGCTAAAGGTATGCGCTTCACTGCGGCCTGTGGGGCTGGTAAATGCTTGGCTTGGCACTAACCTGCTAATTTGTGAATATATTTATCAGTCTTTGCTTTAAGATGAGGTTTATTCTGGCTGCATAAGTAGATGCAAGCTTGCCATGCGCATTATTGTTTAACAGTTAAGCTTTAGAAATCATCATAATATTGCATCTGTGCCATGCATACAATGCACCGACAGAGAGAGTTTTTACTACGATTTTGAGCTGTAGGAATGCATTCAATCTCATCCTCTGAATTATTCTATCTCATTCTCTAGCCTCTACTTGAAATGAATGCTGCACAAGCTGATGAAATTTGAATGAAAGATCATTTAGCTGCATGTTGCTCCAGCTATGTATCTTTCCTTTGTGCCAGTCATGCTGCTGCATCACACTGTACTCTTCTGAGACCTTTTCTTTCCCTAAAACTGTCTCTGAGCTCCTGAGCTCCTAGAGTGTGCTTCTTTGTAATGCCTTTTGTAAAAGTCAACATAGAAAAATAATCCTCCATTGTAATCTTGTGCCTCCTTTTGACTTTTCTCAAACTTCGTAAATCCTCTTTCAACTCTTTATGCTTTTTGTTGTTTTTTGCATTTTCACATATGAGTAAAAAACTATATCCAGACACTACTTAATACTAAAGATACTGTGATCTTTTGAATCCTAACCTAAGCCAAAACTTGAATTAACACAGACTAATCTGGGGGGAAATGGCATTCATAGCAGGGATTTTTTTTGTTTAAAAAACATAATAAAAAACTGTGTAGTCTCATTTTGTCAGTGGTGACATCCTATATTCAGTGCAGTGCACCCAACGGTGGCTAGTATTCTAAATTACAAAGAAGTAGATGCATCAAGCATCACCTTTCATAAGTTTTGACTTTATTTCTGAGCTGTCTACAAACTCCTAGGTCATGTTGAATACAAAGACCCCATTTAAAATGAGATGTGTTTTTCTGATTACATAGACTTTTCATGGTGAAATCTTCACCCTGTTCCTCCCTTGTTTGTCTACAAATTCTCCGCTAACTGTACAGGTATCACAGAGGTCACTTTATTAGTTCTTCTAATTATCTCACATGAATATTTTAATGAAAAAATAATACACTTTTAAAGTTACTGTCTTGTTTGGACAAGACATAAAGGATCAAGGAGCCCACTTTCTGTTTGAAAACGTTAACATGGAATAATTTATTAGAATTTATAAGAATAAAGATTATTTTCTTCTGTTTTGACACGAAAGCATTAGATACCCTCTTTCCTTCTGTGTCCATGTAAGAAAGAAAATCATAATCGATTTAATACACTTTACACCAAGCCCATTAAACATTTACTAATCTTGTAAATCAACTACTGATTATATATTTAGTTCAGTTGTTTAGATTTATAATGCATCATGAGTGCATTTTTGATCGGTGCAAGGATTGATGAGGTCATTTTTACTTTTTGCCTTGGTTTTGAAACGTTAACACCCAGAGGTCGAGGGCAGCCATGGCGGACTCTGAGTTTATCCAACTCAAAGTTCTAGAAACAAAAAAAGAAAAAAAAAGGTTTTCCGAGCCACTCTTTAAGTGAAGTGTACATCTGAAGTGTAACAGTTGCAAATGTCTACCCGCTGTACATCTCATATATTGCACAGCGATAAGTATTAAGTAACAAGTTATAAGGATTTAACTTCCTTGAGATTTTATATCTGCTGAGTTATCGAAATAAAACAAATAATCCTATGTTTTGAATTGCACTCAGATTTTATATCCTCTTTAAAAAATCAAATTCATTCTTTCCTCAATGAAATAATGAATTGGCTTTGTGTTTCCTCACATATTTACAACAACTTGAAATTGTTAGTTATTCATTATTTTCACAATACAAACAAAATCAAATATGGACCTGGATTTGAACGCTCAGATTTATACGTATGCCCACCAAAAAAAAAGATTAACCTCAATATAGCTTTGAGAATTGAACAGTACTAATGGTTTCTCTCTTTTTTGATTCAGGCGATGAATTTGGTAAGTGAATTTGACTTGTGCAATATGCTTCCCTCCTCCCCTTTGTTTGGCAGCAACACTGCACTGTCCCTTTGCTATGGCCCTCTGCTGGCATGGCGCCCCAACCCATTGCAATCCCGCAATGAAGCAATGCTTCGAAAACAGCCACGCTTTGAGCACAGTATTGCTCCACATCCTGCTACAATAGTTTAATATCCTCCAACCTCCGCCAAAAGTCAGAGTTCTGCTTGCTTGGCATAAGGTGTCGTTCTTTGATTCGGGTTCTCGCTTCTGAGGCGTATTTCTTTAACTTGCAAAGTCACATTTTGGTGGCTAAATTGCTTTTTGCCATTAGAAAACGAGGAAAATAGTACATTTCAAAAATCTGAATTGACATGTTTGTAATTGAGAAACAATGTGTACTTTCAAAATAATGATAATTTACAAAAAAAATACTCCAGGTAATTTAGACACCAATTGACTGCATTTGGATCATTTTTTTTGCTACGTTTCAAGTTTCTCATAGTAAATTTTAATCTAAATTGTCCATGTGTACTCTTGCAACTTGAATCTCTTCATTCTGTTTTCCTGTGGTGAGCCTTATAACACACTGACCTTGATTTTTTTTTCTGTACTTCTCTTTGCTTCCTTCTGACAGCTGCTCTTTCAAACAAACATCTTCAAAACAATGTTGTATTGATACTTTACAATAGATTGAATGTTGAGCTAAGCTAATGTTAACTTTATTTAGAATAGACTAATTAATCATTTATGAAACATACACAAACAGTGTCATTGTTTTGTATTATCATTAGGATAGTATACTGCATTGGATTATGCCGAGGTTAGGCTGCCACCTTGTGGCTGACTCCTCTTGTTTCTCTCTGTCAACCTGCAGGATCAGGCATCTAAGGACAAAGCCCTGCAGAACATGGCAGCGCTGTCATCTGCACAGATTGTCTCTCCGAGTATAATAAATAAACATCTTCCACCACTGCCTCCGGCCCCGTATCCACCAGCCAGAGTGAGACTCAATTTTTGGCAATTAAAAGGCATTAATGTTTTTCATTGCAGTTTGAAGTGATTCAAATGGGCACTGACTTTTATTTTCTTCTTTACTCTGTAGTTCTGGCCTGCTCAAATCCCAGGACAGCCTGGACCTTCTCAGGAGTAAGTAAACCCCTGCACTGAACGCACAGGAACTTTGTGGTATCATGGTATTCTTTCTGAAGTAAGACATTGGTGATAGAGATAAGTAAAAGCATGAATAAGTAAATGAATCACTGATGAGGTTAGGTTTAATATCAGGTGGGTATTGCAGGGAATGTTTAATGAATAACGTTTTTGTACACCAGGCTGCTTCTAGATTTCAACCCGGGAAGGACTCCTGGGCTTGGCCGCACCAGCCATGCGTAAGTTCCCCCTAGCCAAGGTTCAACATTGAGCACAAAGCAGTACTAACTCTTCTACACTGCATTGTATGTTTTCTGCACTGATGTAAACCACCATCACCACCACCAGGCAATAGACTGCTTCAGATTTTATTAAGAAAAGAGGAATGTGGTAGATGAATCCTTGTAGTGTTTGATGATTTGTGTTCACACAAAAAAATTGTATGCATTTTTATGAATTTGTCAGCAAAAGCACAATTAAATGATGCTGTTTTGCATCACTATTAAGCAATGAAGCAGGTGGACTTACGCCTAGCTGGTGCAGCAACACATGCTTACACTGATACACTAACAATTCTGCATAACTGAGGTACCCATGTGTCACAAAAATCTGGTATTGGAGTCTTTTTCTCACTTTCATTCATTACTTTTCAGTATCAAACCATTTGCACAGCCCCCATACTCGAGCCTACCAGGTTCTGTAAACCAACCCATACCAAGTAAGTTTGAACAAAATAAATCAATAAATGGAAACCAGAAAAGGAAAATGGGTGTGATATATTAATGCTTATGCATATGTGTTTGCATACATGAAGATTATGAGCCCTTGGCGCCACCTCCTGCACCAGCCGCTACTGCAGTGCCAGTCTGGCAGGATCGGACCATTGCCTCCTCTAAGCTGAGGCTGCTGGAGTACTCAGCCTTCATGGAGGTCCAGAGGGACCCAGACAATGTGAGTTAAATATGGTCTGCACCATATCCCAACCAGACAGCTTGTGAGTAATAAGAACTTGTTTAAAAGTTTAGTGGCATTAATACATGAGGGCTGTGTTTTAGTTGTTTTTTTTGTTCGTGCTCCCTGTACTAAATCAAGTCCTATAGCCAACGTTTATCATCTGCTCTGTCTCTGTCCAATATAGTACAGCAAACACCTGTTTGTCCACATCGGACAAACCAATCCCTCCTACAGCGATCCGCTCCTTGAGGCTGTGGACATTCGGCAGATCTACGACAAGTTCCCTGAGAAGAAGGGTGGGCTCAAAGAGCTTTATGAGAAAGGGCCCCAAAATGCTTTCTTCCTTGTAAAGTTCTGGGTATGTTGTTATTATAATCTGACACTTAATATTATCATGCCTCTGTTTTCTACATTTGGAAATTATGCAAACTGCTTTTTTTTTTCATACAATACCATGCTACATGTGGTGATAAATTACATGATTTCAAGATAAGAGGCAATGTATTTCATAGAATGTTGCTTCATTTATACTGCGTTTGTCTTTGGTTAATAAATGTTCTTTTGAATAACTTACATCCACATCTTTATTTATTTATTTATTTATGCAATTTAAAGTTGATGTCATGTGAGGGCCTTTTGTCATGATGACATGTGTGCACTCTGCAGGCTGATCTGAACAGCAGCGGTATGCCAGACGGTCCAGGTTCATTCTATGGTGTCAGCAGTCAATACAGTAGCATTGAGAACATGACGATCACCGTTTCAACCAAAGTCTGCTCATTTGGCAAGCAAGTTGTCGAAAAAGTAGAGGTACGCCGGTGCTTTAACTGAGTCTTTTCTGAGAAGTATGTTTAATATTATATGCACATTGTTGTCTGTTCTTGACTCGCCTGTGTGTGTGTGTTGCAGACAGAGTATGCCCGCCTAGAGGGAGGAAAGTGTGTTTACAGGATCCACCGCTCTCCTATGTGCGAGTACATGATCAACTTTATCCACAAACTGAAACACTTACCTGAAAAATACATGATGAACAGTGTTCTTGAAAACTTCACTATCCTACAGGTAAAATACAGTGAATTATAGCTGCTTAGTTCAACATTTAACCTTACATTTACGCATTAAGACCAGTTTATCAGTTGATATTTGCTATTTTCTAATTATTCACAAATCAGCTGATCATTATGGGCTTATTTCTAAATGGACTGTTCTTCTCCTCAGGTGGTGACGAATCGCGACACACAGGAAACCTTGCTCTGTATAGCATTTGTTTTTGAGGTTTCCACGAGTGAACACGGGGCTCAGTATCACGTCTACAGACTTGTTAAAGACTAACAGCTCTTCAGGGAGGTTTTGGAAAAGCCACACAATAAAGTGTGGCACAGTCTCTCTTTAACCAGCTCAACGATCCAGGAGAAATTATGAAAACATTCAAAGCAATGCTAGACCGAACTAACATGGACACATTACATGCTTTAAAAAAGTATCCAAGGAAAAAAAAAAAGAGAGAGCGAATCTCAACATGCCAGCACGCAAAGAAATTTTGAAGAATTGCAGACAAGTTATTTTCCATGTGTTTAAACATGATTTAGATGAAGTGGGTCACTTTTGCAAAAATCGACGGAGCCTGAAATGTTTTATCGAGGGGATGAGAACGTGTTTAGGGTTGAAAAGACTCTTAAAGTATCCAAGGGAACACACTCTGAGCAACAAGAGAAGTGTAAATAGCATTGAAAAACTAGAGAGAAAATTACCATGGAAGTGGGGTCAAGTTGTGTTTAGGTGTTTAGGAAACAAAGTGCCTTTTTCTCCAAAGATTATGATTGCCTGCCACTTCGGATTGCCTTATTTTTACTACCTCTTGTTTTTAAATGAAAAGAAAATATTCATACAGGTATTTTGAAAAAAAATGTGGAAAGAAACCTCAGATCAACATCTTTTGGGGCAGTTCTTGTATTCAGGCACGCAGAGGAGTGGGATAACTAATTCTGATGAGGTCTATTTTACAAAAAAACAAAAACAACATCCCAGGTTTTACAGTCCAAGTGTACAGGGAGAAGGTTAATTGTGTCGCCATGTTATTAAGGTTCTTTTTTTTATACATATATTATTACACAATTTTTAAAAAAAAAAAATCAGGTCTTACAAGCATCTATCTATAACTGATTTTGACACTAGGGATGTCTTGAACCTTTGCTTTCCTGACATAAACCCAGGGCTTTGCCTTACTTATGAGATGCCCTGTTATTTCTCTCTGTTTGAAGACGTGTGCTCAGATGCACTTAAAAGATTAAGAAGTGCAGCAACACAGTGCTTATTTTCTGCCTTGAGGTATGTAGCGTTACTGAATAAAATGAATTGTTTCTGTACTGTGAGTAAGTGGATACTAAAGGAATATGTGTTACATAGGAGTGTTTGGGGGTGGGGGGGTCTTCATATTTGTGATCAGCTAAACTCAGCACAGAGACCATGGTTAAAGCAGAGAGAAGTTAACCACTGTTTCTTTTGTTTAAAAAAGAGACTGTATGCTGTGAAGTTGGTACATTGGCTTCACTCCTCTCTGTAATGTGTGGAGAAGCTGCATTCATTAATTAAAATACTTTTTGATATTTAAGACATTTTTTACTGACATTACATATGAAATAATTGTTACATCAATCTGAATAACTGTCTTGAAAGAGAGCTATTGTCTCTGTGCTGTGGAGTATGACCATTGATTGTTATTTATAGGGCTGAACAAGAAATAGCAGGAGGGAAGGGTGGGGTATTGGTGATGATTTTCCACCATGATGGAGATGTTAAAAGTATTGTAGGACTTATATTAGAGATAGAATTTACTGCCAACTCATGGGTCCTGCTAGATGAGTGTCTACTCTGTGAGGTTCACTGGACAAGTTCAAATTTAAAATATTGTATGGTGGCATACTTGCACCTGGCTTTGAATGTCATATTTCACAAGCTAGATACAATAACACTCCTCCTCTAGTAGGTATCTCAGTCTATCTTTTATACAGACATTTTTGCCATTATAAAGATTAATATTTTGTTTTGATTCAGTTGTCTTGACTTTCAGTGTTTGCCATATGCTTCACTGAAAAAAAAATGTGTGATTGTGCTGATATTGATAATTAATAATGAGATATCTAATGTATCATATTCTGAATGGTGTGGGCAGTTTTCTTCTTTGTTTTTTGGTTTAAGATGGTTTACTATTGTCTTTGTTACCAATGTGCATTGCAATTTTATACTTTGAGTAGAAGTTGGACTATGTAATCAACAAATGTATCTAACAATACATGACGCATGGTGCCTTTGGGGCCATCCCCCTCCCCCCCAGAAAAGTCATTAAACCTGTTTGTAAATTTGTTTTGTCTATAGTGATTCATTTTACAGTGGGTGCAGTGGTTAGCACTGTCGTCTTCCAATAAGGTTATGTGTGTTGTAATTTGTTGCTTTTTGCAGTCTTTTAACCTTCCATAGACTATTCAATGTTTCACTTATTCCACATTTTATCATGTTAGATTTTTATTACAAAATTGATTATATTCATTATTTACTTTTACACGCAATACCCTTAACAAAAGTTAGCTTGAAATTCTTGCAAATGTATTAAAAATAAAATACAAAAATGTAACATCTACATAGGTATTCACAACCTTTGCTCAAAACTTTGTTGAAGTAACAATTGCAGCCTTCAGTCTTTTTGAGTTACACCTATTTTGGGGAAGTTTCTCCCTTTTAATTTTCAGAACGTCTCAAGCTCCATCAGGTTGTATGGGGACGTACAGCTACTAACAGATCTTTCCAGAGATGCTCAATCGAGTTCAAGTCTGGGCTCTGGCCAGGCCACTTAAGGACATTCACAGAATAGTATTGAAGCCACTCCTTTGTTATCTTGGCTGTGTGCTTGGGGTCATTGTCCTGTTGGAAGATGAACCTTCACCCCAGTCCAAGGTCCAGAGCACTCTGGAGTAGGTTATCATTAAAGATGTTTCTGAACATTGCTGCATTAGTCTTTTCCTCAAGCCTGACAAAACTCCCAGTTCTTCCCACCCAAAACATCACCACAGCATGATACTGCTACCACCATGCTTCACTGTAGTGGTTAGTGATGGGTAGATGATACCTCATGGGGTGTGTTGCATATTGCCCTTTATTGTGTCTACACGTGTGACACTGTTGGTGTCTCGCTCAATAGCAACATCTGCAGGATTTAAATAGTCATTGCAGACCACCTGGACAAAGAAAGACTGAACTACATTAATTGATTCTGACATCTAGACATCACATGAATGATGAAGGGTCCTGTTTAATCAGTTCATGATAAAATGCTGTTCAAAAAGTGTGATAAAAGTATTTATATTTCAATTATTATTGATTGATTTATTATAGCAAACAAATATGATTGATTGACTAATACACTATATCAAATGCTGTTGTTGGGGTTTTTGCAAGGAATTATAAGTGAGAAAGAGAAGTTTAGAAAATCTAAGTGCTTGTGATAGTGGGAGTGCTTGTATACTTGTATGTGAAGGCAGGGTTTACATATGTCTATTAAGCATGAGAAAGTTAAATTGGTCAAAATAATTAATAACAAATTTAAATGAGTCCTTCGGGGGAAAAAAACTGGAACACAAATAACTGATGACAATTGAGCAAAAGTAGAAAAAGGAAAGGGAAAAACATTTACCTTATTTGATGCTAGGAGATCAAAATGATCTCAGTCTGGAGAAAATGTTCCTTTTCTCACTGGATAATAAATGTGGCAAAAAGAAACACACAAACTGCACTAAAGACAATCTTCTCTCTTCTCAACGTGAATGCAGATGAGTCAAAATTTTCACTTTCCAATAAACATAATTTGGTGCCTCATCGCTGTACGACACAGCAGCTGTATTGGTGATTTTTCGTGATACGTGATACACGCACCGATACCAATACAGGGCTACAGGGCTTCAGGTCTTTGTTCTGGATACACAAAACAGCGCTTCGGTATTGTTTGATCCATAACTAGTAGGGATGATATTGGCTAGGTGACGAGTAGTGTCTGGTTTCCTCCAGGCATGACGCTTGTTATTCAGAGTTCAATTTTTGTCTCATTTGTTTCCCATGGTCTGAGAGTCCTTCGGGTAGGTACCTTTTGGCAAAGATTAGCTGTTATGTGCCTTTTATTGAGGTTTGGCTTTTGTTTGGCCACTCTACCATGCAGGTCTGATTGGCAGAGTGCTGTAGAAATGGTTGTCTATCTGGAAGGTTCTCCTCTCTCCATATAGTCAGACATGAAGACAGTAGGAGTACTGAAGGCTAGCTGGAGAACAAAAGAAAAGGCTTACAGTGTGTTGTATGTGAGACTGGATACTAAGGAAGGAGAAAAGGACTAATGACAGGTTAAACAGAGAGATCTAGCTGAAAATGATGTGCAGCAGGTAAAGGTGATTGAAGATAGACATGGAAATGTGCTAATGAGTGAAAAGAGTTTGCTGCAAAGATGGAAGGAGTACTTTAAGGAACTGATAAATGAAGAAAATGAGAGATGATGGTAGATGGTGGACAGTTACGAAATCAGGGATTGCTAAGGGTAAGTAAGGAGGAAGTGAAGGCTGCTATGAAGAGAATTGAAGCCAAAAAGATGGTTAGTCCAGATGACCTATGTGGGGGAGGAGATGTCTACGAGAGAGCAGTGGACTTATTAACCAGATTGTTTAACACACGCACTGGAATGGTTCGCAGCCGAGTGTGAAGTAGCGGGACTGAGGATCAGCACCTCGAAATCTGAGGCCATGGTTCTCAGCCGGAAAAGGGTGGAGTGCCCACTCCAGGTCGGGGAAGAGTTCCTGCCCCAAGTGGAAGAGTTCAAGTATCTCGGGGTCCTGTTCGCGAGTGATGGGAGAAGCGAGCCGGAGATCAACAGACGGATTGGTGCTGCGGCTGCAGTGATGCGGACGCTGCACCGGTCCGTCGTGGTGAAGAGGGAGCTGAGTGTAAAAACGAAGCTCTCAATTTACCGGTCGATCTACGTCCCTACCCTCACCTATGGCCACGAGCTATGTGACCGAAAGAATGAGATCACAGATACAAGCAGCGGAAATGAGCTTCCTCCGAAGGGTGGCTTAGAGATAGGGTGAGAAGTCCAGCCATCTGGGAGGGGCTCAGAGTAGAGCCGCTGCTCCTCCACATCGAAAGGAGCCAGCTGAAGTGGTTCGGGCATCTGACAAGGATGCCTCCTGGGTGAGGTGTTCCGGGCATGTCCCACCAAGAGGAGGCCCCGGGGCAGACCCAGGACACGTTGGAGAGATTATATCTCTCGGCTGGCCTGGGAACGCTTTGGTGTTCCCCCGGATAAGCTGGAGGAGGTGGCTGGGGAAAAAGAGGTCTGGGCTTCTCTGCTTCGGCTGCTGCCCCCGCGACCTGGCCCCGGATAAAGCGGATGAAGATGGATGGATGGATCTTTCTTCATACTGAGAAAGTATGAAGCCATTGTATGACACTGCGATCTTTAGTGCGAGTGGGAGCAGGTGGAATAGAGCCTGAAGAAATGCAGGCATGCTTTGGAGAGAAGAGGAATGAAAGGTAGCTCATATTTCCATTGGAAGTGACCACAATGGACAGGATTAAAAATTACATCAGAGGGACAGTTCAGGTTAAACAATTTGGAGAGGAAGTTAAAGAAGAAGGGCTGAGATGGACTGGACATGTACAGAGTAGCGATAGTGAATATAATAGACAAAGAATATTGAATATAGAATAGAATAGAATTCAACTTTATTTTCATTGCACATGCACAGGTACAGGGCAACGAAATGCAGTATGGAATATGGAGCTGCCTATGACAGTTAACAGATTTAACTACAATGGTCAGCTTTTAACCATGTGTTTTGCCCTATAATATAAATTTGTCTTTTGCCTACAGATGGATGATAATGCAGGAAAAAAAAAGAACGTGTATCTACAACATAGAAAAAAAATAATACACAGCTCCAATAAAAGATTTGCAAATTTTATCATTCTCTCGGCTCTTGAAGGAGGCGGTCGCACTTTCCCCCTCTCCCTTATCTTTCCTGCTTCTCATGTCTTGTATAGTCTCGCTTATTCTCTAATCCTAAGAGAGTCTCCCAGACTTGTTCTCTAAAAACCTAAAGAAGAATTATGGATTTGATCAACTGGAATTGACATCCTCCTGGGCTTGGGAGAGCCCAATTGTCCTGCGGAGACGTTTGCTGCCAGATACTCGATGGTCGGTTGCGTCGTGTGTCTGGCAACACTCTCGATGGAGGACATTGAACGACATCTACCAGTTCGGAACTATGATAACAGAGTTCTGGCTGAATGGAGCTGGCTCGGACCTGGCTTATTGAAGAACAAGGAGCAGCTACAGCTGTTCAAAATCCCACAAAGCTGGCCGACATGATAGACGATGGGCAGTGCTGTGAGCACTCACACTGTGTTTTTTATTACGCAATATGGATGCGATCTTGAAGAAGCTCATGGCTCTGTTATATGGATAAGATCTTGAAGAAGAACAACGGGAATTGAGAGACCTGGTGACCAGTGACGGACATTAGACCTACTGTAAAACTGGAAGCAGTTTGTTCGGACTAACCAAAACAACTACCATCTTCATCTCATGCGGCCCCCCTGGCACCAGCTGGATGCTCAAGGCAAAAGCTGACGGGAATCACAAATTCTCCTTAGATAATAAGACTGTTTGTTGTCACTCTCTCCCCCCTCATTCATGGCCACCCGCGTCGACCGAAGATTGTTTACTTTTGTCTAACTGGGTGAAGGGACACCTTCTCTCGGCTGAACACGGAACACACACACATACGCATGTCCCCCCATGGGGATAGACAAAGTCTTTTTGACTTGACTTGATATCTAATATTAATCAGGCAATTAAGCATTTCACATGAACTGTTCACATTGTTGTGAGTAACAATTTTGCTGCACCTATCAGCTGCCAGTCAGGCTGCAGAGTGCTGCCTGCTGTGGCTTTCACATTTTGTGTTACCATGCAGTTTTTATTAATTTTAATTTTTGTCATTTTAACCTTTATTTCTGTGATATTCGGATATGTGTATTTCCCTTACTTTCTCCATATTTTGTCCTTATTGCCCGAGTATTTATAGAGCATTAGCGCACCCATTTTTCCAGATTCTGTTTCACTTGACTTATTTACCACCTGACTTATTGCTGTGCCTAGGGCTGTTCAATATAACGATATATATCGGATGACAATATAAAAACATCTATCGTTTCATTTTACGCTATCGTTTGTTTCGTGGTGTCGCAAAATAAACTCTTTACGGCAATATTTTTTCATCGTTTTGGCTATATTAATTTCTTAAAGTTCTCTTATTCTTTTATAT